AAAAAAAAAAAAACCTGGGAGCAAGATCCTATTTGATTTCATCTTTGTATATTTCTCAGTAACAAGTTAGTTAGTGACGTGCTCATAAATATGCTTAAAGAAATGGATGCATCTTCCTTCTTTTATATTTCATTCAAAATAACTTCAGAAAGGTTTTGTCAAACATAGAAGTAGTTCGCCTCCCCAAATTTCTCAACTTCACTATTGTATAACTAATAGCAACCAGGAAGAACAACTCCACAGCAAGACAGTGAAATGTAAAAAGAATAAAACAAAAGGAGGGAACATGGTCTTTGACATTACATCCCCTCAAGGCAAAAATAGGGAAGTTGCTATTTTTTGAATGAAAATAACCTTATGTATTTCGTGCTGCAGATACTCAATTTTATATGATAAAAAATACTACTTTGTAAGGAGGTAGTAGAAGTTTGAATCCTGGCTCTGCTTTTTATCGTGAGACCTTGGTCCAGCTACTCGACCTTGCCGAGGTCTGTAAAAAATAAAAACATCTCTACGACTGGTTGTTTAGATAAACCGAGTAAGGCTGACTTAACACGCGCCTGACACATAACCAAGCGCTAACATCATTAAACAATAAGCGAAATTAGTTACCTCAGCAGCTCAGGCACAACAATGTAGTGTAGATACACCGGGATGAGAACGCATAGTTTGAGTCTTACTCACAGGTGGTAGGAGCCAGGCATTTTAATAGCTGGACCCCGGGTATTATTTTTGTCTCTCACCGCGTGTAGCCAGGCGAAGCTCAAAGCTAAAGGCTTAGCGCTCCCGTTACTTTGGTCTGGGCTCCACGCGGAGCTCGGGGAAGACACTGTCTCCTAGAGGCCAAGACACGACAAAACGTGCCAGGCCAAACACGGACTCCCAAGATTCCCTAATGCATGGCGTTTTCAACGCGCGCTTTTCTAAAGCCGGGGAAAACATCGTAGGCTCAGGGACGAGGTCAAGGCACGGTCTCCCAAACTACGCTCACACCCCCAGCGAACTAAAACCCAGAAAACGAGGTAGAGCAGCAGAGACTAACTTGCAAAACTTCGCACGCTACCAGGGCTCTCCCGGACACCGGCGGCCGAGAGCGCAGCAGTTCCTGCGGTACGACAGGGGCGGGGCCGCGGCCGTAAAGCAGCGCCCGGAGACCACGTGGGCTCCGAGGCGACCCCGGGCGCCCTTGGAGGGCCTTGGCTGTGCGGGTCATGGCCGGTCCCCTGCGGGCCGGTGGGGCAGGGGCTCTGGACCTGCTCCGGGCACTTCCACGTGTGAGCTTGGCAAACCTAAAGCCGACTCCAGGCTCCAGGAAAGCGGTAAATGGCTGGTGGCGGTGCGGGGACGCGCAGGGGGAAGGGGCGATGGAAGCGGCCTGTTCTCGCCATCGTTCTCCCGCACTCTTTGCGGAGGGTGTTGGGGTAAACGTAGGGTTGCCGAGCCCTTGTTCTCAACTGCACGGAGAACCCAATTCGTAACACGGTCCCAATTCGTAATAAGGTTCATATGGTAAAGCGTGATTCTGTAATTACGGCGAAGGCGTGAAGTCGCAGGAGCCACAAAATGATGGCCTCGTTCAGAGTTGGATTTAAGATGAGCTACTTTCCCGTTAACTTTATTTTCGTGGGAAAGATTTGAATTGATTACGGTAGTTGTCTTTTCTGCAAATCACTGAATACAGCTAGAAAAGCTGTCAGTTGACATACTGTCATTTATTTAACTTTAAAAATATTTTGTTTCCACCCAGCGTGGGGTTGGAACTCACAACCCGGGACTGAGCGCCAACACACTATTATTTAAAGAATCGGTTCGTTTTCACGAAGTGACAGGAAGTTAATTTGGGAAAAAAATACTTTCTTTACAAATTAAGGTTTAAATAATACACATGGGTAACGATTATGTGTTTACAATTAATTACAAAATAAGTGTTCTTAAATACCGTGTAAACCTTGTTTGTTGTGGATGTTTGACTCTAGGATTTTTTTCATTTCCAGCCTATCCTAGAGTCCTTACCTCCATTCCGTCCTTGGAACTTTTCCTTTGAAACACAATTTGGACTTTGGTTACAAGAATTCACTACATTTACAGAGGCAAGGATGCTAACTTAAAAGAGGAGGTTAGAGCAGTTAGAACAGAGCTTGGCACATAGTGTTAGCTGTTAGTACTGGTTGATTGGATAAATGAATGGCGTTTCTTTTCCTTGTAGGAAAGACGGCGAAGAGGTCAGAGAAGAGGTCGAAAATGTGGCAGAGGCCATAAGGGAGAGCGGCAGAGAGGAACCCGGCCCAGACTGGGTTTTGAGGGAGGCCAGACTCCATTTTACATTCGAATCCCAAAATATGGGTTTAATGAAGGTCATAGGTAAGGTTGCTTTGCTTTTTAAAGTAAAAATCCCTAATTTTCACTGACAGTCACCAAAAAAAAAAAAAACAAAAACAATTGCTTGGTAGAAATTTAAATTCACTTTGAGGTAAACTTTTATTGCTGTTTCTCTGAATCATTTTTGGTAATGAAATTTGGCCTGGATTAGGAGGGGAAAAAAGCCCGGACTTGATGCTCAGACCTGGCAAAGGAGGAGATGGTAATACCAGCTCTTGTGGTTGGCTAGAGGCTTAGCAATAATGTATATAAAAACCTGGGTAGTCACCCAATAAATGACAACTCCTCTTGTTACTTTGAGCTCCGTTAATGCATAAGTCACATTTGACAAATTTGTTTAAATGAGTGAAGTAAATGCTTAGAGAGGCAAATTATTTTTAGTGAAATGAAGTTCTGGTTCTGTTTCATTGCCAAAAAGCAAGCGATATTGTGTGATTTTGTTGCACTCAGGATGGTTTTATTTTTGTTAAATT